CCCGCCCCCCCCGCAAGCCGCAGGCCCCGGAGCGAGAGGGGGGCCCCCGCTGCGCTCCTTTGCCCGCTCGGCCGCCCGGTCTCTCGCCGAGCGGCGCCTGTCGCCCACCAGGCCGGCCGCGCGCAACCTGCGCCAGAGCCCGCTTAGCCTACCTCCGGCTGCCTGGTCCTGGGCGACCCGCCGCCGCCTCTGGGCAGGAACCGCTGCTCGGCGCGCGATCCGTCCTGCCAAGCGACGCTGAAGCAGCCCCGGCGCCCCGGCCGCTGCGTTCCCCCGACTGACCCTTCCGCGGGTGGGATGCCGCTTCAAAACACCGCCTCCTCCTCGCGCGCGCGCTCTCACCCCTCCCCCTGCCCTCCCCCTGCCCTCCCCTTGCTCGCTCCGCCGTCACTCAGGGACAGGGTACGCACCAGGGGGAGACCTCGGTGGCATCTATGCCGGGGCCGATCACGGGCATACCCCATCCGCTGTCAGAGACGGACGCCCCCAACACACACACACACTCACACACAGAGGCTACGAGGTCCCATCCATTCACTGGCTGCTGTCTGGAGAAGGAGGGATGGAACGGCCAATCAGAAATTCCCCAGAAGGATTTTTAAAAGTGTGTCATATTGGCTTGGAAAACATTGTTTTCCTACACAGGGAGGGCAGGCAACTAGGGCAGTCCCCTACAAAGTCTTTCCCAGAACTACCCTGGAAAACCCCTAGATTTTTCTGCAGAAGTCAATGGCTTTGTGTAAGTGGGGACACCATGGAAAAGCGGCCTTCTTTTCCTGTGATCAACAGGACAAAAGCCATGCTTTGTTCAGGCCCTGAAAGAGAATCTTTAGTTCTTATTCCTATTTTTTTTTAAAAAAAACCTGTAGATCCTGCTTTCTCTTATGCTTAAGGTGGCCTACAGCAATCACTTGCAAAACCCCCCACAAAAGAGTTAAATAGTATACATCAGGGATGAAAACAGTCATTCTGCTGCTCAAAGATAAAACCCTCAATTACAGCCGGTCTTGTTTTAAAAAAATACCCAGAGAGGGAGCCTGAGAATCTTCATTAAATAGCCCCTTCCAGATGACCGAAGCCATGACAGAAAAGGCAGTGGACTCACCCATGTGCTGCTTACCTAGTGGATACTACTACGGGAACAGAAAATGTGGCTCAGTGGCAGAGCATCTGCTTTGCATGCAGAAGGTCTCAAGTTCAGCCCCCGGCATAAAGGCTTACAGGACAGGTTTGTGTTGCAGCAAAGAGGAGTCTTGTCACGGCCCAAAGGTAGGTTGTTTGCCGCAACATGGATGCTATGGCGAGGGGTTTTCTTCTACAGAGCATCATGGTGCTTTTGTGCACCCCCCAGGTTTCCCCTATTTTCCCCATTTTGTTGTTCCCACTGGAATTCATCTCCTTTCATCTCAAGTATAATAGCAACAAGATTACAGGCATCCTATATATAATTCCCTTATGTATTGGCAATTTCCAGGTCTCCCATTGACTGTGCAGTGCACTCCATCAGCCATTGGCCCATCAACCGCCACTCAAGAGTACTCATGTGCCATTGGCTGGGTGCTGGGTCCACTCCTCTCCCCCACCCACTGCCAGCCTGGACACTCATCCCTCACAGAATTAACTATCAAAATGCTTGTCTCTCCTGACAAAGACACTTCTGCTTGGCTCCTGTGGGACTAACTTTTCCCTCCTTCGCTGTTGCTAGGCAACCAAACTTGGTTCCGTCAGTAAAAAGACGAAGGAAGCCCTTTCCAGGCCTTTGTGAGGAACCCATTGGGGCCAGTCCTGACTAGCAGCTTGTTGTGAGGATAAGGCTGTATTCAGAAACAAGCTTACTTATTTGTTTACTCTACTTATAGTCCCTGTCTTACTGAGACTAAAGCTATAACATAATAAATGCAAAAATGTTTTTTGACAAAAAAAAAAAAGAAATGCAAAAATGAGATTACAGAAATTAGAAAGGAATGCACTAAAAACAAAGTAATGAATATATAAATAAGTAAATCTTGTTGGAAGTGGAGGAGAGTGCACTGTCCTCTGCCTCAGCCTTCAGAGACAGAACCATAGATTTAAAGACAGAGAGGTCAGGAAACACAGAGAGCAGAATGCTAGGGACAAGACTTCCTTCCAGCTTGAGACCTTCTCTCTCACACACACACAAAGAAGGAGCACACACTCTCCATCTTTGCCACCATGAATGCAGGACAGGCATTCTCCATCTGCATGCATCTAGCTAGTAAGATTAGATTCTATCCCTATTTCTCAACCAGCACTACCTAGAATGTAGTTCCTTGAATAAAGGATTCTTATTACTTTGAAATTGACACGTGGGTCTGTGTGACTCTGTAAGTTTGCTAGCACACATAGTATGTAGAAGCTGCTGCTTGTTTTAATAAGCTCAGTTTTTTCTGCATTTCTTCAGTTTGAAGCAGATCAAACTGATCTCTTAGTTGTTTGATTTCTGCTAAGATTGTTTTCTTTAAAGATTTTTAATGTTGGCCTTCTAAGGTCTGAATTCTGTAGTTATTTTTTTAATTTGTTCCAATCTTTCCCTCTTTTTCTTAGAGGCTATGGCAATTAACTTTCCTTTCATATATGCTTTACTTGCTTCCCAAATAGTTGCCATAGAGAGATCCTCTGTGATATTTAGTTTAAAAAATTCAATTCTTCTGTGTCAGGTTCACAAGTTTTTAAAATATCTTCCTGCAGCAAAAGATTGTCATTCATTCTCCATCTTCTTCTTATAGACATTTCTCTATGCCATGTAACCAATAATGGATTATGATCAGCAATTGTTTTTTGGCTGGATTGCAATGGATCTCAAATTTGTGAGTAGAATCTTAGATGTCCAGCACATGCCAATTCTTGAGTATGTCTTGTGTCTATCTGAAAAGAAAATGTAGTCTCTTAAGTGTGGATTGAATGTTCTCCATAAATCTTCTAAATTCAGTATTTGCATATAGGTGAAGACATTCTTAGGCAGTTTTCCTCCTTTAGACTTTTTAGTTCTGTCCTTTTTTGGATCTAGTGCGCCATTCATGTAACTGAAAATTAGAATCTCTCTCTCTTGAAAATGTATGGTATATAAAGTCAGTAAGTTATGGGAAATGAAACAAGGTATTTCCACAAAGAAAAAGAAAGAAGGAGGGGGAAGGACCCACAAGTCCTGTAAGATGAAAGTTCATGTTTTTGTTCTACTATGCAATTTTTTGGCTTATTCACAATAGTCCATTAAAACATGTAGCAATATCAAATGCTTAGGGATGGATAGACATCTTGGAAGTAGAGCCAAGTTTTAACATTCTTCCTTATTGTTTACATCTGTATTTCCTGGATCAAACTGACATCAGGTATACATGAGAAAACAAAGCTTAGAAAGTTCCTTAAAAATATTCCTTCATTTGTGTTGAAAGCTTTGTCTGAAGATAACAGCCTTGTTAATCTTGTACTCCTTCCCCTTAGTTCAAAGAGTTTTATTAGTTCTTTTTTAAGACTCTTAGTCCGCTTTCTTGATTACTGCGATGTTAACAAACTGTCTTTAAATTTTGGGAAATCTAAAATCATTGCCTTTGGAAGGATGTGGAAGCCTAACAAATGGAAGGTAAGAGGTAACCTGATTGAGCAGGTTCCAAGCTTCAAATATCTGGAAGTACGTTTCCATCATAGCCTTAGATGGGCAGTACATAAAAAGGAAATGACCAAATCTGTCAATAGTACCATGCTTGCAGTTTCTCGTTTTCACTATACTAAGGGCTATCAGTGTGTGCCCGCGGCCTTGAGGGTTTTCAATCATAAGATCAGTGCTGAACTAATGTATGGGGTTCCAATCTGGATTTTGGCTCTTAAAAAAGATATAGAAAAAGTCCAATCTACATTTCTTCGAAAAATATTAGGCCTTCCCCCATGCGTGTCCTATGCAACCATCTGTTTGGAGACCAATCAGAGTATTTTGGAAACGAAAGCTCCTCTAATAAAATTTTAGGGCCAGAACATGTGGGCTTCTGCCAGGGGAAGTCAGCTTTGGACCACTGCTTAGTCCTCACTCACTTGATTAACAAGTATGTGAGAAGGAAAAGGACTAAATTCTATATTGCTTTTTTGGATTTTAAAGGGGCTTTTGATTCAGTTTCAAGAGAACTTCTTTGGGTAAAGCTCGAGGGATTGTCTCTAGATAAGAGGTTATTATTTCTTATTAAAAAACCCTATACCTCTATGTCCTGTCAGGTTAGGTGTACCCCGTCAGGGAGACTTTCCCCTCAAATCCCTATTGAGTGGGGGGTTAAGCAGGGGTGCATTCTAGCCCTCCACTTGTTTAATCTGTTTCTTAAAGATTTTGCCCCTTTTCTGTCACTAGTTGATGGCCATAGCCCTAGACTCGACTCTTATTCCCTTGCTGTTATACATGGACGACACGGTTCTTTTGTCTATATCCTGTGTTGGATTAAACTGCTTATTAAATCGTTGCCATGAATATTGTGTGATTAATAGATTGGAGCTGTACTATGAAAAATCAAAGATATTTGTCTATCTCTATTCCTGGAAATTATATAAGTGGACTATTAATGGCAATAAATTTGAACAGGTCAGGCACTTCAAATACTTGGGTGTCCACTTTCATTCTAGTGCCACCTGGACCCATCACCGCAGAATGGCTATTAATGTAGCTAAAGTCAGTACTGCAGCAATCTCTTGTTCTTACTTTTCTGACCATGGACACCAATATGTGCCAGCTGCACTCAAAGCTTTTAATGTTAAAACTGGAGCTCAATTATTGTATGGAGTACCCCTCTGGATAGATGCAATTGACACTTCAGTGGAATGTGTCCATTCTACCTTTTTGTGAAAGATCATGGGGGTACCCATGTGTGTTCCATATGCTGCCTTATGTTTGGAGTGCGGACAGAATTTGATGGCTACTAAGGCATGGTTCCAAACCATTAAATTTTGGCTGCGACTCCACTTCAACTCTGACCCCTCTAGTTATCTGTATCAATTACTTTCTGAATCTGTCAATTCTAGCTGGCTATCTCACATTGAAACCAAAGTATGCTCCTTGAACTTGCCCTTAGAATCTCTATCCTTGCTTTCTGAGCCTGAGGCTTTTTAAAAAATAAAATCTAGTTTATTGGGCTCAGAATTGCTAACTCTCTATAGTTTGGCTAACAGAACCTGTTCTCCCCTAAATTTAGGGATTGTTCCAAATGCAAATCTTCCAGCTGTATATCTTTATCAACTTATAGCTCCA